ATTGTGCACAACAATCTCATTGACATAATTTTGGTATGATTCCCTCTTCCCAAAATTAGGGTTAGGTTTTTGGTTGGGGTTAGGATCTCATTTTAAAAAATAATTAGTTTTTATACGAGATGGAATAATATGAATACGCACTAATGATCCTCCTTTTCTGTTGATATATCAAATAGGAATACTTTCCTCATGAGATGCTGGTAGCATTATGTTCAGTGTGTCATTAGGCTGGTAAATGCTTACAACATTTATAACAACACGACTGGCATGTACCATTTCTGGATAAGAGCTTTTTCTGCCTGCAGCAATTGATTTCAGGTTTGAAAGGAATATGATGCATGTAATTGTTTCTCTCCAGGAATACGTGATGCTCGTGTTTACTAAAAGCCTTTAAAATCTGTTCTCTTTCCATCTCGGACTCGACTCACTGGAGGATTCACTTGTTATTTATGTACATGAAATAAAGCAGAAACACTTTCTCAGATTTATCTCTGATGCTATGCTATACGGGGCGTTTTGATGTTTTTATACTCTTTAATGTAATCTGCTGTTTCATTATCCTTTAATATCCCTTTTGCACATTTTATTTTATTGCAAATGTGGTTTAATGTTTATGATGTTACATTCATTTCAGATTTTCTCTTATCTTCAATGTTTTCACTTTTTTTTTTTTTTTTTTTACAAAGATCTGAATGTTTGAGAGTGTCATTTATAAAACACTTTTAGTCTCACAATTATGGAGCTAATAATATGCAAAACAATCTGAATTTGAATTGTGTTGTGATCACGCCTGACTTTCTGCTGATCACTTTTTGCTGAATCTGAATTTCACGATCTGAATTTCTGGTTTTGAATTTTAGAAAATTGAATTTGATGTTTCAAATGTCTTCATCTCAAATCTTTTCTGCAAACTTTTACGCCATATATTCAGATTTATTAAATTACAATTGTCAACAATTCAAATGAACACAATTCAAATTCAGATTGTTTTGGCATATTATTAGTTCCATACACAATTACAAAATAAAATAAAAAACTTAAATGTCAAAGAATTCCCTTTGGAATGATTATTTGAAATTAATCCTGGGAACGGAGTTGTTATTTCTTATAAAACAGTCTATATTTTTCACTACACTATCCTATAAAAAGAAAACAATTCCTGTAGGGATTGAGTTCTTCCAGTCAACTCCCATTAGGACCATTCTGAACTACTACAGAAAGTCTGACAGGAATGCTGCGCAGATCTCCTTGATTTTTTTTTCCTGACCTCGTACAAACATGTTATTTTTTCCTCCATTTTTCTTGCGGGAGTCTCAACTGTCACATAATTGACGTGATAGAGCTGTTTTTGACTAACAATGAGTCGAGGGGAGCTCTGTCACTACAGCTCTGACCACAAGCCTGTCTCTCATACTGATCAGCCTTTCTTTACCGCACTTGTACTGTAGATCTCTATAGGAGGAGAAATTAAAACAATAGGAGACGGTGAGAGCTGAGACTATGAAAGAAAGGGACAGTTAGACAATGGCTGCTCTTTTCAAAAGGCTATTGTTTTCTAAGAGCTGCACATTAATACCATTATATCAGAGGTAATGAAATGACTCATTGTTTCGCCTGAAGTTTTTCTTCTTTTTTCACTTTATGCAGACCTTTTATAGCTTCTGAAACGTTTCAACAGTTATTAACTTTGTAGGAGAGTTTAAATGAAATTAATTACAGCATTACTGCTGGATTTACTTGAGTTGATGCACTGTTTTAAGAGATGTGGCAGGTTTGAGCAAGTTGCATTTGATTTATGTCCTTTGCAAACTTTGGGGTGAGACTTAATTAATCTCTGTGGTTATCAGCAGCAGACCACAATGTCTATTGCATGAAATGTTATGAGCTATAATTAATGTCAACAATTTCATAAAAGTGTCTTATAAGGTAACTTGTAAAGCTTGCATAAAACTTCCTCTTTGGCTGATCTTAATAACAACAAGCTACGCCGACCCCCTTATTTAACTCTGTGGATAAAAATATCCCGTCCCATTACTGGATATTTTGTCCCAAAAGATTTACTTTGACATGATTTTCTCTGAGAAACTGCTTACAATTATTGTTATATTTATTACAATATTATGTAGTTAGAGACAATTATTGACAATAAATTGAAATTTGATAGTAATGTAGAGGCTGTTTATAAGTAGGCAAGACAGTGCTTCATTCTCCTCTGCAAGTTGAGGTTTTAATATTAGTACACAGACTTAAAACATGGCAAATACACTCAACGGCCTCTTTGTTAGGTACACCTGTCTAACTGCTCGTTGATGCAAATTTTTAATCAGCCAATGACCTGGCAGCAATTTAATGCATTTAGGCATGCAGACATGGTAAAGACGATCTACTGCAGTTCAAACATAGCCTCAGAATGGGAAAGAAAGTTGACTAAGTGACTTTGAACGTGGCATGGCTGTTAGTGCCAGATGGGCTGGTCTGAGTATTTCGGAAACTGCTGATCTACTGGGATTTTTATGCACAACCATCTCTAGGGTTTACAGAGAATGGTCCCAAAGTTCTGTGGGTGCAAATGCCTTGTGGATGTCAGTGGAGAATGGCCAGACTGATTCAAGCTGAAAGAAAGGCAACAGTAACTCAAATAACCACTCCTTACAACCGAGGTATGCAAAGGAGCATCTCTAAACACACAACACGCCCAACCTTGAGGTGGATGAGCTACAGCAGCAGAAGACCACTGGGTGCCGCTCCTGTTCGCTAAGAACAGGAAACTGAGGCTACAATTCGCACAGTCTCACCAAAATTGGATAATAGAAGATTGGAAAAAAATTGCCTGGTCTGATGAGTTTTGATTTCTGCTGTGACATTCAGATGGTCGGGTCAGAATTTGGCATCAACAGCATGAAAGCATGGATCCATCCTGCCTTGTATCAATGGTTCAGGCTGCTGCTGGTAGAGTAATGGTGTGGGGAATATTTTCTTGGCACACATTGGGTCCATTAGTACTAATTGAGCATCGTGTCAATTTCACAGCATACCTGAGTATTGTTGCTGACCATGTCCATGCCTTAATGACCACAGTGTACCCATCTTCTGATGGCTACTTCCAGCAGAATAATGTGCCATGTCATAAAGCACAAATTATCTCAGACTGGTTTCTTGAACATGGCAATGAGTTCACTGTACTCAAATGGCCTCCACAGTCATCAGTTCTCAATCCAAAAGAGCACCTTTGGGATGTGGTGGGACAGGAGATTGGCATCATGAATGTGCAGCCGACAAATCTGCAGCAACTGCATGATGCTATCATGTCAATATGAAGCAAAAATTCTGAGGAATATTTCCAGTACCTTGGTGAATCTATGCCACGAATGATTAAGGCAGTTCTGAAGGCAAAAGTGGTCCAACCCCTAGTAAGTTGTATCTAATAAAGTGACCGGTGATGAGTGTAGATCATTATTAGAGGGTGTTCTCACATATAACATCGTCTAATGGTTTGGACACCTGAACAGAAGAAAAAACTTCCACAAATGATTAATCAGGCAAATAAGATAACTGGCTATAAACAACATTCACTCAGATTTTATTTGATTCCTTTATAAAAAAAAAAAATGAGCAACTGCTATTTTTAAAGATCCCCTTCACTCAGCTTTTGAAATGTTACCACCAGGACATCGGTTTAAAATTCCTTGAGCCCGAAGAAATGCTTATAAAAAGTAATTTATCGCATTTGCAGTTAAATCAAATCACTATTTGATGTGAATGGCGTGGTTGTTAAGAATGATCTGCAGTATTATGTATGGGGCTACTATGTTTTTAAGTTTTTAATTTATGTGGTTGTCTTGTTGAGTATTGCTGTTATGTGATTGTTGTACGGTTGTTTGTATGTTTCCAGTGTTACAGACACATTTTCTTTCTGTGTCAAGCAGATCGTACAACAAAGTTTAAACATACAAACAAACAATGAAACAGCAGTGTGAATGTTTTTGAAACAGAATGGCTGAAATTGAATTCCCTCTAAAACCATACTTCAATACATACTTCATCTTAAAAAAGAAACAGTGTATGGTGGGTTGGGTAGAATTATGTCTTAAAATCATATTTCAACCGAAAACGTTTACTCAATTTACTCACACTCAAATGGATCCATATTATTATAGATTTCTTTATTCTGTTGAATAAATTAGATGATTTGAAGAAAGCTGGAAACCTGTAACCGTTGCCTTGTCAATGATTACAGGTTTCCAGCTTTCTTAAAAAATATATTTGCTTGAGTTCAACAGAAGAAAGAAACTCAAACATGTTTGAAAATGAGTAAAGAGGGAATAAATGGTGACGTAATTTTCAGTTTTGGGTAATTTATCCCTTTAAGTTTTTCTCTAATCTTTTATATGCTCATATACAGGTATACTTACCCCATTTAAAAGATGCAAATTAGAACATTATAAAATCAAATTATACATAGGTAGCTTTAGTCCTCTCACAAATGCGCTTGTCAGTGTGGCTGTTTATTATTATTTTTGCCATCTTCAGTATGTTGTTGTTATTTTTGTTCTGTCTTCTCCTGCTCCCAACTGGGAATTAATGACCTGTTTAGTGTGGATTGATTGATTTATTTTAGGTCATGTGACACAAATGAAAGTTACAGTCAACAACTTATAATACGCTAAAGGAAAAACAAATCCTGGTTTATCTCTTGCCTTATTACACCTTATTACATTTTTTAGCAACAAAAGGAAAGTTTTTTTTTTTTTTTTACTTTAAATAAACACAACTTCGGTGTAATGCATAATCAAAAGAAATCAATTTAATATGTAAAAGAAATAAAGATACAGTTGTGGTCATACAGTAAGTAAATGAGAGCTGTACAATCACACCTCACAAATCATTTGATCTTGATGTCTACAGAAAAGAGATCTCATTTGTGATGTTTCTTTATTTTTGATCTTCTGTAAGATGTAAGAAAATGATTTTGATGTTTATGCTTGTCGTTTCTCTTGCAGTTAACCTGTTAGTGTTGGCAAGAGCATGCAGCAGTCACTATGGAAGTGCCATTGAGGAGTTTTGTTTGGCTAAATTTAAGCTGGACATGGAGGTTCTGGATCAGCGTCAGTGGTGTAGCTGGGAGGACACAGTGGAGTGAGTAACAAAGATTACACTTGATTAGCTGACTCATGTTCTGGGGCATTCCTTACTTTATGTTCATTTGTGTTTTGATGAGCTTTGTTTTCTTCTACATTTGAAGACATAAAAAGGTGTCAAAGTGTAACATATATATGCATAAAACAAAACTATTTACATACATTATCTTATACATACTGTAGCTGCTTAATTAAAACAATCAACACAAAGTAAAAGAAGGTTTATATTGACTTAATATGACAGTAAAGAGCTGTTGCAAAATTGTTACAAAACTTACCCAGTCGGGACTCTAACCATTAACCTTCTTGCTGTGAGGTGACAGTGTCAACCACTGACCAACCGTGCCTCCCAAATTAATAATAATCTTTGGAAAAATAATATGTCATATAAATAAGATGGACAACGCCGTGGCGCAGTAGGTAGTGCTGTCGCCTCACAGCAAGAAGGTCGCAGGTTCGAGCCTCAGCTGGGTCAGTATATATATGCTTATTATAAAATGTAATATAAATAAAGATGATGTAAAAAAGAGTCATGTGACACTGTGTAATGGCTACTTAAAATTAAAATAAAAAAGTTGCATTTGAAATAAATAAATGTAAAATGAAACAGTTTTAAAGGGCCATGAAACCCCCTCGTTTCAGCAGGGTGTTTTCACACCTCTAGTCAGAAAAGTGGGCGTGTCCAGCTCTGTTTAGGGGGGAGTGTCGGAGGAAGAAAAGTGGGATGGTGTGGGAGTGTCTATTTGGGCATGCGCGAGGTTCAGAGTCAAAATACACACACACACAGTAGAAAGTGATGGTGTTTAACCTACATGGACATCTGTAGTCGAATTATTTGCCAAATTATTAAATGGTGGACTTTAACTGCAGTTTGGCTCTTTCATTCAGGGAATTCATTCATGCCCCTCGCGACAAACGAGATATTTGATTGGAGAAACTGCTCTAAGCGTGTATTTTTTATGTTTGATATCGCACGGCGAATGAGAGAAAAAAAACCCTCCGCATTTCCCGGAAACTTAAGCTGCTTTTCCACTATCGTGGCAAACCGTTCTAAGAACACTTCGGTACGGTTACGGTTGTTTCTCCACTGAGCCTGGAACGGCGCGGCACGATTACAAACTGTTCTCGGCACGGAATTCTCGGCACGGTTAGACAATCGTGCTGAACTGTGCTGACAGATTCTGTGTGTTGACGTCGCGACTCGGTTGCTAAGCTACCACAGCTGGCTCAGCAGAAGCGCGCTAGTCATCAGACATCCTCAATAAACTACAGTAGATTTAATATAAAATAATGATCCAGGTCTAAACGATACAGTTTGAAAAGGGTTTTAAAACCATAGAGCAGTCTCTGGCAGAGAAGTGAACAACTCATCACATTATTTTATTCATTAAAGTTATTATTTTATTGACTTGAATACAGACCTACTTCGCCTGCCCGAATGTGAGTTTATTGCACGCAGCGCTGTATTTCACAGCACAAAACTCGCTCTGATCCGGGAGAGACATGCCAGCGACTTGCGCTGCTGACTTTCTTTTCCAGCTGCGCATCGAATAAAGCGAATAAAGTCACGCTTAGCATCGTAGATGTCCAAATTCCACTACAACATCACTATATCCATGGAACACGAACTTGCAGACTCTTTTAACAACGAGGAAATAATTGCACTTTTTAATTCAAAGCCAGGACAGCTTGTTAATACCGGCGAGACCACCTGAAGGACGTCGTGTTGTAATGTCGGCCGTCCAAATGACTTTGCTTGACAGCTTTACGGAGCGGCACTGTAACTGTCCAAGGTACTGTTGTATGATTTATATTATAGCATATGCACTAATAAACAAGTAAAAAGAATGAATGAATTAAATAAATATGGAATCTTAAATGTCAGTATTGCTTTTACTCAAAAAATATCAATACGTTTTGACAAATGTTTTATAAAAAAAAGAGCAATTTTCATAATTTCAGCTAAAGGCAATTATATGATTCAGTTATACATAAGTTATATGACATTTATGAGGCATGTAACATGTTTCTATGTTTTTTTGTTCTTAGTGATCTTTAATATAGATACGCAAATATTTTCTAAAACGTCTAGCAATAATTCGCCTACAGCTTGTTAGTTAATTATGAACAAAAAATAATAATAATAATAATAATAAAATGATCAAAATAAAAAGATAATAGAGCAGCATTTTGCTAAATATAATAGTGCTTTATATGCTTTAAATCCTGCTTTATATGTGTTGTTTCATATTCGTTTTTTTTTTATTTCACTTGCTGCATTCGTTATTTAATGTTTGAATAGTAAAACAAATAACAGCCATTGCTTAATTGGTTTCATTTTACCATCAAAATGTAGTATATTTTATATCATTATCAACTTTTGATATAAAAACGCAGTGTAATTTAATTAATTGTTAAAAATGAAATAATTTATGTGCTGTGTTTTTATTAGTGAAAGTGCCCGCTCACCTTTGACAAGGCCTGTCCAAAATGATATTTCTGCCACTATAATGCAAATGCACTATTATTGTTGTCTTATCATTGTTTATTTTTCTGTTATGTTCAGAGATTTTAAATATTATTTATTTCCCCTCCAATTATTTTCAATCATCACGTTAAATTTTGGTAATTTTCCCTCCAAATAAATTTAGCCAGAGCTGCGAAACATATAAATAAATAAGGGTGCACATGTACCGATATTTAGCAACCCTATTTGATAGAGCGGCATAACAGTGTTCAGTTCACATGGTTGCTTTTGCTTTTATGAAAAAAAAAAAAAGTTTCGGCTCTTATTTAACTTTAATTGAACAAAGGGAGCCGTTTACATGCGTTACCAAGGCAACTACTGATGCGTTTTGTGTAATGTTTTAAAGAGCTTTGTCGCAGCACGACAGTGGAAAATGAAACCGTATCCGTGCTGTCTGGCCCGGTTTGGCACGGAATGGAACAGTTCTGTTTAAAGAACGCTTCAGCACAATAGTGGAAAAGCGGCTTTAGATGCACGCGGCAAGTAGTGTCAGAAAGCCGCGTGTGTTATTCCGGTCACTAAATGCGGTAGAAACCCTACATGAGGTTGTGGTGCTAACATGTTTACATTCGGTGCAATAGTTAACTTAGTTTGATACGAACAAACTAAATAAACAAAGAGCACTGGTCGCTCACTTACCAAATCTGTAGAGACAGGACAATCACCAGCAACAAGAGCCGCGTCTTTATGAAGAGGAGACTACAAGCGAATCCGATCTCAGCGTTTGCAAATGAGAACAGCTCTCAGGTAAACAATAATCCTGCTTAGACACGTAAGTTATTGTTGTCGAGCGTCGTGTACACTGTTAATCCACACGTGACTCTGAGCTCTCACAGAGAGAAAATGAAAACGAAACCTAACTGCAGCAAACTATAAAAGCAACACTTCACGCTTGTTTTGCCAATACAATGTGGCGTCTCTGCCGTCTAAACACTGTGACTAATGAATATTAATGAAGTTGTACAATAGAGCGCGCTGATTGATTTGAACCAAGCCTTACTCATGCATTAATGCATCACACTGTAAGACATAATAAGACACACTCTGGCACAGACGCCCAGTCTGCACGCTGGAATACACGCTATTATGTCATGGCCGTGACGCAGCTTCAAAAATTCGTTTCAAACCGGAAATACAAATTTGCTTAAAATAACGCAAAAACAACCAATTTACACTTTTTAGTGAAATATAGGTGTCCTAATAGTGTTTTTAGCAGTGTGGGACACATATAAGACTGTCAACAGCTCAAAACATGTGTTTTGGTGTTTCGTGACCCTTTAAATAGTAATATTTTAGTCAATACAGACTCATTCTGAAAACGTAGCCCTATACACATTTCTATAGATCGCAAATTATATAGCCCGAGCTACGTATGGCAGCATTTCATCTTTAAAACGAATGCTACAGTGTGGTACAAAGCCGTTCCTTTTCTTGCTTACCAGCTGACTGCTTACCTCCGTATGGATGGCTTTTCTGCTGTAATCAGCTTGTCCGCTAGGTTGACATGTACAACAGTGGGCGTGAGACGCAGAGTGAAGTTGACTGCAACAATGGGGTTTGAGTCCAGTGAAGAATGGTTCCAGGAAGCGGGTAGGACAAAAACAGAAGCCAAAAAATAAAATAAACAAGTAAAGAAAAGGGTGAGAATGAGGTAAAATCTGAAAACATGGTAAAAATCAGGCAAGGACTTTTCTTTTTCTGGACTGTATTTGAAAACACTGTGGTTAGGTTTAGGGAAGGGGGTGGGCAGGTAAATCTGTGCTTTTTAAAACACTATTGGTTGGGATTAAAGAAGGGCATGGGTGTAGGATTGGTTGGTCTGTCAGTTATTCAGTCAGTTAACAGCGGCCTCTGATGGATTTACATGAGAACAGCTGGTGCGAATGGCTCTTGCGAGAGAAATTTAAGATCTGAAAAAGCCTCCTTTTCCAGCGTAAAAGCAGCCCTTAGTGGATTCACGAAAGAAAAAACTGCAAAAAGAAAAAAAGCTCCTGGGACATATTTGGTGCTCTTCAGAAATGTATATAGGGCTACACAATCAGAATGAGCCTGGGTTATTTGTATTCCTAAAATTTCGGTTTTGTCATTTTTAGCAAATAAATGCAGCCAAGAGAGAGAGAGAGAAAGAGAGAGAGAGAGAGAGAGAGAGAGAGAAAGAGAGAGAGCGAGAGAAAGAGAGAGAGAGGGAGAGAGCGAGAGAGAGAGAAACCTGAGGCGTGCACTTTTAACAGCACACACAGTTTGCATTATTTCATAAAGCATGAAAGAAATAAAGGTGATTTAAAGGATCATGTGACACTCATCAATAGCTATTTAACATTCAGAAAGGAAAAAAAAAAGACAATTGAAATAAATAAATGTAAATTAGAAAACCGTTGTTTTAAATGGTAATATTTAATTCCTAAAATTTTAGCAAATTAAAAAAAAGCAATAGAGACAAAAACTCACCCCAGCACTTTTAACAGAACACA